GCATCCGTCGCACGCTGGAGTCTGGGGCCAGGCGAGAGTGTTTTGCTGGTCGTGGGGGGCGCGAGTGAGAGCGTTCTGGCGAGTCCGAACACCAACGAGCTTAGGCTGCAGAACCGGCGGGGATTCGTGAAGATTGCGCTGCAGGAGGGCTCCCCGCTGGTTCCCGTGTATGCGTTTGGAGAGAACGACGTCTACGCAATTCCCCGCGTCGCGACCTCCGCGTGGTGGAGGCGCGTGGAGAAGCTGTTTCGCAAGGCCACGACCTTTGGCTTTCCCCTGTTCCTTGGCCGCGGCTGGTTCAACTACAGCTTCGGCATCCTGCCGCACCGCCGCCCGATCACGGTGGTGGTTGGGGAGCCGCTGCTGGTGCCGAAGATCCCCCAGCCAACGGCGGAGGACCTGCAGGAGTGGCACGACAAGTACGTCACGGCCCTCAAGCGACTCTTCGACGAGTACCGCGCCGTGTACGACGTGGAATCCAGTGGCCTGCGTATTCATTAGTTTTTGTAGTGTTGAGCGCCAGTGCTACTTCGTTATCTTGTTGTTTTTGTTTTTTTGTTTTTGTTTTTGTTACGTTTGCCTTTACGTGAGTAAGTTTGAGTGTATACGTGCGTCGGTGGGGACCCTGTGGAAGTGAGAAGATGGGCGTGTGCGGCTGTGGGTTCCGCGTCGATTGTAAGGTTATTTATTTATCTACTTTTTTCTCTTCGGCGCCGCGCACGCATGGCCGTGCGTGCGAGTCTGTGCGTGGGGGTGTGTCCCTGTGCAACGGGGAGAGCTTTACACATGTATGTGTTTATGCATGTGTGTATGTGACCTCCTCTCCAATGTGTTCGTATGTATGTGTATATATACATGTACTTGTAGGTATCTACACCTGCGTGCGTACACCGCGTGAGGGCAGAGGCAGGGAAGAGAGCACCGACGCCCAAACAGAACACAAAAACAGAGAAGGGAAAAAGGTGGTGAGGGGGCGTTGTTACGGCGGCCACGCAGAGCAGCGAAGATGGTGCTCATGTCAACGTACCGCAACAGCAGGCTGGTGTCGAAGGAGTTCCTGCACGGCCCCGTGATGCGGTTTCGCGCGCTTGGTGAGTTCTACTTCCAACGTGCTTGGAACGGCACACTGAACTGGGCCCTCCCTGGCGAGTACCGCCTGTATGCGGTGATGATCCCCTTCATCTACTTCTACCACCGCTGGCACCAGGAGCACAAGCTGGACAAAGACCACGTGGAGAAGGCGATGATCATGCGGTGGGGCGGCTCGCTGGAGGAGGTGCGCAAGCTGTCGGCGAAGGACCAGCTGCGGGTGCGCTGCTTCATGGACGTAGAGAAACTCTACTCCGCCTATGGCCCGAAGGACATCAATGTGCAGCCGGCCGGCGACACTTTGCCCGGAAAGGACTTTTACAAGAAGGACGGTGAGGGCCACCATCACTGAGGACGTTTATTGCTGCCGCTCTCATTTCTTCCTTGACGTCCACTGGCCGTGGCGGCTGTGAGGTGGGCGGGGTGGTGGCTGTCGACGCGCCGCAGACGCAGTGGAGCGTGATGAACAGCAAAAAAAAAAAACGGGAGGAAACCGAACGGTGTGAAGGGAGAAACGGGACAGCATGGCGTGCGTGGTCGCTGCAGTTAAGAGAGAGAGGTGCGTTTCTCGCTAGGAGGAGGGAAGTGTTTAGCGGAGTAGTAGCGGTTGGCCACACATGCACGTGAGTGTGCCTGGGGGGGGGGATGTGTGTGCGTGACTGCGGGGCCCCGCGCTCGTCGTCTGACGCGGCGAGTGCGGGGCGGCCGACGGATCGCGGCGTATTGACCCCCGCGCATGCACCCTGCGCAGGTGAAAAATAAACAAAACGAAAAAAAGAAGAATGAAAAAAAAAAAAGTTGCGTCGCTCGCCTTGTTGGTGTAACTGTCAGCTTCGGCGTGTGCGTGCGTGTGTGGTGTGGGGCGTTTTGTTGCCGCCTCAACTGCCGGAGGTGGAGGGCTGCTGCTGCTGCTGCTGCACAGTGCCGTCTCTTTCCCTTTTTTTTTGTTTTGTTTTCTCGCCTTCTCGCCCGCGCGCAAAACTGGGCGCCGGCGGCGGCTGACAGCTGCAGCCTCTTCACAGGTGGCAACCTCCCCCACGCGACCAAAGTAGATTTTTTTTGTTCTTCTTCTTTAAGAATAATTTTTTTTAAAAAAAGAGCAAACACCAAAAAGAACGAAAGAAAAAAAAAAGAGAGATGATGGGTACACTCGTGCTTCCGCCGTTTGTGGCTGCCGCCATCGTCGAGCACGCCAAGCGCCGCCACAACTCCGCCGGGTACCTCGTAGGGAGCCGCAGCGGCAACCAGATCACCGTCACGGACTACATCCCCTGCACCCACGAGTCCACGAACGACGTCCGCACGCGGGCGTACCTGGAGGAGCTTAAGGAGCGCGTCGCGCTGAAGAAGTGCTACACGCCGAGCATCACGCTGGTCGGCTGGTACGCGGCGGCCACGCCGGAGCCGGAGAAGGAGCGAGAGTTCGAGCTCTGGTGCCAGGCGCCAGGCGCACGCTTCACCAAGAACCAGGCCGTCATGCTGCTTGTGCGCATGCCGACCGCCGCCGACGTCAGTATTCGCTGGGAGGCGTACATCACGAGCAACCTTAGGAAGGGGGACGCCGCCCAGTGTGAGCGGACGCAGCAGCTAGCCGTCGCCATGGAGGCGGAAACGCAGTCGATGAACGTGCTGCTGTCCGAGATGGTCTCCAAGGCGCTCTGCGGCGGCGCCGTGCCGTACCCCACGGACCGCATCACGAACCTCGACTACGTCGCGGCGGACGCAGCCGCCAGAGAGGGGGACTTTGGCAGAAAAGACGGCATTCGAAAGGACGCCGAGTCGCGGCCGGTGGAGGCGGCCCTGCTCGCCGTGCAGAACAAACTTCACCAGGCCATCTCGCACGCCCGCGCCATCCTCGCCTCGGGGCACAAGCACAGCAGTGAGGGCGCCGCCATCGCGGAGAACTACGAGACCATTCTGGCTGAAAAGAAGGAGCAGAGTAGCCGCGACGACTTTATCACGGAGAGCTACAAGGATGCGCTGATGATGAAATACACCGCCGCCTTGCTTCGCCGCCACGTGACGGAGATTGAGCGCCACGGACGTCAGGACATAAAAGAGAAGATGTACTACGGCCACGGTCAGAGCGGCGCGGCCAGTCCGCATAGCACACGTAGAACCGCTGCTTTTCGCTAAACGACAACTGTCGCGGCACAGGGAGGGGGAGGGGCGTGTAGGGTAAGCCGCAGCGAGCGCAAGGGATGAGATGGCGTGGGAGGAGGGCCATCTGCTTCCCGCAATTTATCCTCCTCTCCCTTGGCGTCTGTGCTTCTCTCTCTCTTGTGTTTCACTGCGTGTAACCCGCTGCGGGCACGTGGCAATGGTATCGGCGGGGCTCAGTTGTTGTTGTTGTTGTTGGTGTGGGTCTCTGTGTGGTGGGGCGGCGGCAACGTGCCCCCCTCCCACGTGTCCGCAGCGCCCTGCGCGGAGGCGAAGAGGCGGTCGGAAAGTCTCTGCCCGCGTCGAAGGGCGGACGCCCACGCACGCACTTTTTTTTTTTCTTGTTTCGTTTTTAAGGTTAAGAGCCCCGGTGAGAGGAGTGCGCTGCGGTGGAGTGGGGGGGGCGACGGGGGCGCCGTTGGGAAGCAAAGGAGAGAAACAAAGAAGAGGCAAAAAAAAAAAATGGACTTTTCATCGCTGCCGCCGCCGCCGCTACCATCGCCGCCAGACTAAAGGAGGAAAAGGAAAAGAAAAAGAAAA